TGCACACAAAACCAGTATGATGTGGTGAACAAATGTTTACCACAGTGTTTGCGTTGTGCTATGCGATTGGGTGTGTGGTGAATAGTTAATCACAATGTATTTGCAACAGTTTGTTGCTGTTTAAAAATATGCAAATGCAGTTGTTGCTGCATACATAAATTAAGCGCTATTTGAAAGATAATAGTAAGTGTGGACAAAAAGTGAATGAGAGAATTTCATTTTTCAAATTAATTAATTTACAAACAATTAAAATGTTAGAATAATGAAAACAAAATTGTATTAATTATTATAAACAAATATAAGTTAAATACAAATAAGTTCAAAATTAACTTGTCCTGTGACATTAATTTGTTTATATGCAATTGCCCAAAAATACGAGTCTCACTTCCCATATTTTATGTTATATTTCATTTGTTTCATATTCATAATTATATTCATATTCATAATAATTTAAAAAAAAAAATAAAATAAAAATTTATATTTTAAAAATAAATATAGTACATTTTAATAGCTGTTAAATATTTAAAATTATTTTAGAAATATGTTAAATAATTTGAATAACTTTTTGTTAATACTACAAAAGGAGAATAACTTTATTATTAGTTGAGTCATTGCACTTGAGCACTTTTATTCTCTATTAATTGCGAAGTTTCTTCATTACCCCTACATTACCTCTACGCCTTGATTATTGTTTATTGTTTATCACTTCATCAAATGAAGTGGATTATTGGATTATTGTTTATCACTTCATCAAGCTAAGCAATAATTGACCTCAGATCTGCATACCTCCCCGAGGAGTCTGTAACCATTTTAAACTAAAATTTTTTGATAAATATTCTTGTAATTGGAAAATGTCTTTTTTCACTGTATAACGATAATTAATAAAAACGAATAAATATAAACAGTTTTAGAAATATCCACATCTCTCCCTATGACACAAAAAATTAAAATTTGTACCACCATTACCTATCAGATAAGAAATGTTCTTTTCAGACATGTTTAATGTATTTTCTGAATACCATTAAGGATCACAAATATATACTCATCATGACTAACTCGTCTCATTAATTCGAGATGCTATTTATGGATCGTTACTAGATAGATGTCGGAATATTTTAAGAATTAAATCATATTTATTATCTACAAAACAGTTTTATATTTAAAAATCGAACTAGGATTCGGATAAAAGAATGCATCTGCTAAAAAAGATATAGTTCTTCTAAAACTCAAATTGGAAGTAAATCGATGATACATAACTTTTTATGTGAAATAGTAAGCTAAGCATATGATTAGTGGTTATAAACTTAATAGATATTTTGCAATTCCATGTTTTTTCATTGGTATGAGAAAAAATTTGAAATAACTCTTATTTATTTAGTCATTCAATAGTTTATTTATCATTAATTAGTTAATTGGACCTATATTCCCAATACTTCATTTATTTGGGCATATAGGCCTACAGATATATCTTAACGAATGACATGGTGGTATTATCAAATGTAAATTTTAAAGTCGTAAACAAATGATATGGCTTGCGGGATATAAAATAATTAATTTAAATACAGTCAACAAACGATAGTCCGTGAGTAGTAGTGTCATCAAATTTCCCAGGTGCTGTTGACATAGGAATTAAAGTAAATATAGCAGACGCTCTCAAATCATACTTAGTAAAACTAAGTTTTCCTTTAGTAAACAGCCTAACTTCCTTGTATGTTTGAATTATTTTACATTATTTTTACTCAAAATGACCAGATTGCTCAATAAAAGTCAACCGTTTGCTTCTCTTACACTCACAATCTTTATGATTCATCTCAATAACACTTCTAAATGCATCAGAAGTGAATCAACTAAAAAAACCAGGCATCGATTGCAGATATAAGCATAAGGCTTCACACAAGAACTGACGTTCGATTTGTGAAGAGGTTCTCTAGAAAGCCTTCATCCACTATGCGCCTATTGCATTATTGACCAATTACTTTTGAGCTTTAATATATAATCGTTCGTTTTCATATTCTTCATCGTACAAACGCTCTTAAGTTTTTATCTTTTTGTTTTTTAATTATAAAAATTATGACCCACCGATAGGAGTTAGAGCAACAACAACTTACTATTTTAACAAGGCTATATAACTACTTTATAGAAATAAATACTCATAAATAAAAGAGACGGAGTTCTTTTTAAAAATAATATTAGCAGTAATCTCTTAAATAAAGTTCATTAAGCAATTTTAAGTAACTATTTTTAAAATAAGAAATTTATAAGTTGAAGTTCTGTTGTTTTGTAAAAATATTTAATAAAAAACTATGCTAAAATAGAAAAATGTTCTATTTTCCAGTTCTAACATTCAACTCCATACTTAATTAGCCAGATTTATTAAACTTCTAATTCAAAAATGTGCGATTTATTACTCATAATACCCTGCACAGACTTGCCAAAATAATATATTTATATTATAGTTAATTCTTCGTTGACAATGTGCAATGGGTAAGGCGTACATATCAATGCATCGTTGCTATTTATCATTGCTTAATACATGTAATATTAAAACTCTGAACAATAATTCATAATTGACTTAAACGTTATTTAAAATGTAAAACAATGTAAAAAAATATGTAATTACAAATATATATATTTTTCTTTAATAGATTAAATATAATTTAAAAAAATATTCTTTATATCAAATTGTGATATATAACTATTATAGTTATGTAATATGTATGTAAGTGTCAAAAATTAAAATGAATTGCTGTATTAAATTTGAAGAGATTTTGATTTTATCAATAAATATTGAAAGGCGTATTTTTTTCAATTGAATCAGCAAAATTAATGTACATATTTTATTTTTTAATACGCCCCAAAAATGTAACACAGTTAAGAAGCTCTTATTATAAAAACACTAACAACTTTTTTATATTAATTGTTATCTATATTGCTGCAATTGTTTTGCTTGTGTTTCTTACAATTCGACCCATGTTTAATAAATATTATGTTTAAGTAAGTATATTAAACGCTTGGTTAATTTCCATTACTTTATGCTGATATAGATTTGTTTGTTACAATCAATTATTTCATTTATTTTAGTGAAAGTAAATCGCATGTCCAGCATAAACGAAACACATCATTATCTATGATTTGTTTTTAATTTGCATAACTTATTAATATTGTTAGAAAGTGAAATTACTTTTCCACATTTTACTTTTTATATAATTATCATATAAAAAAATACTAACTAAATTCATGATTAGTAATCTTAAATACTAACTACACATGATTAAGGATTTAAACGGAGTATTTCATGCTCCCAATCAAAGATTTTTAATTCTGGTTTAAAGCGTTTAACAGGTTCTATAATCAAATAAGTAAATTAGAAAAATAAATAGTTTTTATCAGATGACAAACGTACCTATCATTGCATAACGTTGTTCATTTTGTAGTTCTGCGTAATCAATATTTAGGCCTGTAGGTAACTGTTTTGCGGTCATTAACTCGGGTATCCAAATTTCGTCTAACGAATTTTTTATTAATACTAAAATTTCTCTATATAGTTCTTGCAAAGCTGATGCATCAGTATCTTGTTGTAGTTCAATTAATGCTCCACAAGTATCATGAACGATTTGCTGGTGCGTAGCTAACTTCATAGTGAGATTATAAAGCGCATCGATCAATGCAATATCTTCGAACTTATTACCCGGTTTTAGACTGAGCACTTTTTTTGCATGTTTTCTACGGTTTTTGCTTGAGCGGAATGTTTTGCTATTTCAAATTAATAAATGTTGTTGAAATTATAAAAATATGTTAAATTTTATGCATTTATGCATTTATTTACCCTGTGCCACGCGAAGAGTTAGTAAAACGTGAAACACTTGTTGTGTCCGAAATAATATCGCATTCATCAATATTATCATCATCAGCATCTTCGCCCTCTAGTTGCTGTTTCAATTTTTTTTTACGTATTTCTAGTAAACGCTCCTTATAATTTTCAAAAGTTTTTTTGTCTTCTAATAACTTTTCTTCCAATAATTGGAAATGTGTTAGTAATTCGGGTAAGACCAAAGAATCTGTCATTTAAATATTTGTTATTTTTATGTATCAATTTAAAATATCCAATCGTTTTTACTTACCTATTAAATTAATATCATTGTTATCAGCTTGGAACAAGCGAACCTCACAAATGGCTTTATTGTAAACCTTTCCTTTTAATAATATTTTAACGCCATCAATAATATTATTACCATAAGATTTTTGTAAGTCATACGCTTCATCATATCTTCCTTTTTCCATTAGCAATGGAACTAACGAACTAAAATAAATAAACAGAAAGTAATATTGAGTAAAATCACACATGCCGAAAAAGTCAAACACATATAGATTAAATTAGGTTAGATTGGAGTGGTGGCTGTGCTCACTTGAGCCCGTTGTGAAAACACGGATTAACGTTGTTTATACGCAGCCTAGAAGGACTGGCAAAAGGACTGCACGACATAAGTCCCACATTCAAGTGAAAGTAAACTAACCTTACAAGTCTATAAGCTTGGCCAAATCCCTACTTTTGCAGGATAACAACTCTATAACGTTGGTAAGAAAACCGGCCCTAAAGATTTCAAGTCTTCTCCTAATCAATCATGGACATGTAAGGTTGAGAACAGTTGAGTAGGCCCAGTCTCATTGCATATCTCTTTAGATCGCAGTGACCTGGCGGCAGCGATACACTAGTCACGTTATGCTTTAATTGAAACAGCCAACTATTACGTTGGTTGTCCAGTTTGAACCAGGTCGATCTTGACATCTGAAAAGAGTTTTTATCTGCCATTTATCTAAAATTGCCATAGCTAGGTTATTATTAAGAGAAGCCTGGTATACTTGTTAGGGACTGTTAATGATGTAGTTGCAGCGATCACAAGATTTAGTTGCAGTTTGGATGTCCGAGAAGATTCTATTTTACTGCGTACTGAATCACCATTAGTCGTAGATGCTAAGATCAAATTTATAAAAAAAACTATATCACTACCGACTCTTTTATTCATTTTGGATCTGTCAGTGTAAATGTCTGTCGTGTTAACAGAAACTATCCTATCTAGAGTTCAGTCATCTCTACTAGGTATAAGAAAGCCGAGCCCTAGATCGAGGTCTGGCTTAGAACAAATGTAGTCTATTGAGATAGTCATTGGCAAATCCTGAGTTAGCAATGAATCTGGTTCCACTAATTTAGCATTTTGTTTTACCAGAAACTAAGTAGGCAACCAATGAAGCAAAGCGCAAAAACTTCTCGTGTGGATGGAGAATAGAGCCTTGCAAGACGGTCATCCTTTTTATTTTTTCAGGCAGTTTTATGTAACGCGTCTTTCAGTTGCTGGCCAATAAGAGACAACAACAGCGTGTTTCCCAAATGGCATAAAACCAGGAGATAATTTTTTTATTCAAGAAATGAAAAAAAAATTCATATGGATGATGGATATATTTTCAACATAATGAAGGATCTGACACCAAAATTAAATGTATCAAAGAAGAGTAAATAAAAAAAACTTTCAGTCAAATAACCTTCTATATATTAGTATTATATATTTTATATTCTATATATTACATATATATTTTAAAAATATGTATTTAAATATATATTAGTTCTAATCCATTTAATTTAATTATTTATTATTACTCATGTGCCCTAGTGAATTTGTATATTTTTTTTTTGTGGGAAAAAAAGAGGTTTCAGAGACCGACGTAAATATACTTCGTTATTGAAAAAAAAATCCTTCTGCAAAAAATATATGCAAAAAAATAATTTGACAAATAAAAAAATGGAAAAAAATTTTTTTTAGATTCTCTACAAAAATGATGAAAAATTCATTTGGTTAAAAAAATTTGAAGCGACTTAAGGTATAAGAATGAATTATTCTAAAGATATTACATATTGATATATATTAAAAATTAACACCCTACCAACCGCTTAGCAACCTTATAAAAATTTATAAGAAAACATAATAATTGATCTTGTTAAATTAAATTAGCACATACACAACATTATATGCTATATTATACAAATATTGTAGCCAGGAAATTACTTTGCCTTTATTTGGAGTTTTTCAAAAATATGTGTTGAGACATAGTCCTAAGTACGTTGAGGTGTGTCAACATTTTTGATTTCGGGCTGAGTTTAATAAGAAAAATTTATTATGAATAATTATTAATTTTTGTGTTACAATATCGACGCTTATAAAATGATCATATAATATTAGAACAAAACAAAATATCATTATAAAAGAAATTGAGATTTTGACAATCAATTTTTATCTACGCCCTTTAAAAATATTAATATTTCATAGCAATAGTAAGAAATAGTTGCAATAAATTTAAAGCTCATTTAGTTTTATATATAAAATATTAACCAAAACTTACAGTGCAACAGTTGCTATATCTGCTCCATTTTTTTTAGCTAAGAACAATACACGTCCACAATCCAAAATATTTTTTGCACTCAAAAAAGCTTGCATATTACTATCTCCACGTTCGTACATAATGCTAGCATCTTTCAATTTATTATTCGTCCTTAAATAATCTCCAAAAGCTAGGCAAGTACTTTTATAGCAGTTTGGATGAGCTTCATAATACTTAAGGGCAAGAGCATATAAGTTGTGTTTTTTAATGAATTCCAATGCTTCATCAAGCTTTGCTTCACCACATGCTGTTATACCTTTCAATGCCTTTTGATAGCGTTTCAGATGCTCATCAATTTTATAACAACGATAATTTGTGTCGTAACTTTTTAATTCATTGAAAAATGGCAAAAATTCTTTAGGATCACTGTGTGACTTTTGAAGTACATAAACTACTAAACCAATGTCGTATGTTCCAAGTGCTATATCGCTTAGTTCATCAACATTTACGATTTGTATTAAATGCTGTAAACCCTTATCAGCTAAACTATCAGCAGTGTCTGTATTTAAATTTTCAATATATTTTTGTTTCCAAACCTGAGCTAAAGCTTTCTCCACCTTTCCAATTTTTACATATGCACTCAGTATAGGCAAAAAAAATGCTTTGTTCTTACTTTCCTCCATTAGACTAAGCAATTTCTCGCATATATTTACTACTTTCTTTTCTATTTGGAAGTTTTCTGGATACATTTGTTGAGCGTTGAAATAATAAAATTTGTACACGGTTTTGGTGAAGTCCTGTAATACAATTTTATTATATTATTAATGTATAATTGCATACACATTTTGTATACTTACTTCATTTTTTAAATCATTTAAGAACAAACACAACCAGTCTGGATTGTCAATCTGGTTCAAAAATAACTCCAAATTATTTAAAAACAATTCAATGTTATTATCGGAAATAATATTCAAATTAATGCGCTCTTTCCGTACTATTTCCATAGCATTCTTATATCTCAATTGGTTTAAAGTTTTAGACACTATGCCTAAAGATAGTATACGTGGGACAACGGTTTCTATGTTTCCACGTGGCAACTGTAGAACCACGCGTCCACTGTCAAAGACAGTGGTTATTATTTTACTTCCACGTTCAATTTTACGTTCAGCAATAGTTTTTTTCTGCTTTAAATGCCAGAAATACATTGTGGTTAATTTGGTAAAAATTAAATAATTGTCAATGACACAACACGAAGTAACGTCATTAAAATAAAGCTCTTCATTAATAAAAAGATTATGATTTGTTTTCCATGCAATTGTAGTATTGATGCTATTATTTCTTGATCCACCTACGATGAGTTGATCCACTACTGGACCTGACTGCTTATTTGCCTGCACAAATTCTATTGTGTTTTCTTTTGTTATTATAAATTTAAATATTTCTGCATTATCTGCTTGAGCAAGCAGTATTTTATTTCCAGCATCAGCCATTGAATATATTTTTGTAGATAATACAAATTTGCTTAAGGGTATATATTGGGTAAGTACACTATCGAGCTTCATAAGCTGCATAACTGATTGGGAATTATCTGACTTATTTGTTACTATTGTACCATCACCGAGGAATAAGAAGTTCCCCCATACTGCAGGTGGACCACATAATTCTGGAGATGCAATATATTTTGAATGCTCATCAAAATTTAGTGGTTTCGAAATATTTGAATTAAATATAGTCATATCTTCATTGACGTCATAAACGCATAATAATAGTTTTTGATTTACTAGAATTATTGTACACGCGTTAATGTTTTTATCTAATTGCAGTATTCTATTACACTTTGGTGGAGGTATAATATTCTGCTTGAAATCAGTTAATAGCAACTTATTTCCATCGATAACAGCAACTACACCGAAATTTTCATATTTATCAATACAAAATCTCCATCTAAAGATAAAAAAAAAATTGTATTAATATATGTTATATTATAGCAGCTTTATTTACTATCATTAATGCTATGTATATTGAACACCCCATTACTTTGTACACAACACACTTGTGTACAAACTAATGTAACACATTTAACAAGGTATTAAAAAAGCAATTTGGTTTTTCACAATGTTTACTTAATTTTGGACAGATGCTTTAAACATCTCTTTAATGACAACACAAATACGATAAAATTTCTTTCATTTCTTTCATTGATAATTAACATCTATTGTCACACATTTTTTGTTTATCACAATACTAATTTTAGTGATATACTATAACTACTCTTTTCTCCTTCTACAAATATTTAGAGTTCCAAACTTTCTTAGAACTGTACGTTTATGTTATTCTGTTACCTGTATATTAAATATTTCCCATCCTCTAGTAGTATATGTAAGGTTTTTTCCTCATGTAGTCTATTATCCCAGTTAAAATACGTAATAGGATTATTTAAAGAAAACCTTAATGTTTGCTTTAAGTACCAATGATAGTTGTTTACTATGTACAAGTACAGATAATTAAAATTTTGTGCTGCATCTTTAGTTTCAATTGCTAGAATATCAGAATCAGGACTATATTTTAAACTTTGTATTTGTTCAACATCCAAATCAAATGGTAAAATTAGTTCACGATGTCGCAAGCCATTCATTTCGAAGAATCCAATTGTACTTTTATTTGGCAATTTATGCGGTACTGCTATCCATGATTCAGCTGGACGCCAAGCAATTTGGACACCTAAATTATTAACCTTTTCCGATGTAAATTGAAATTTTCCTTCTCTGTTAAAAACTTTGAACATTCTACCATAAATGCTGTTAACATACGATACCGCAAAATAAGCTCCATCATCGCGCCAATGGACTTCAACATTCTAAAATGATTCATAGCATAATAAAAATATGACTTCTTATATTATCAAAAACTTATACCTGTGGCAACTGTTTGACATCTTCCGGAAGTTTATAATCACTTTTCTTTTTGGCTGCCTCTTTGCCTTCAGAACCATGAAATTGTGTTTCTTTAGAACCCCAACCTACAGTGACAAATGGGTTTTCATCGTCCAATCCTAGGGAATGTTCTTCAACTGGATCATAATTTGCATTTAATACAACAATGTTATGGGCTTTTGTAACAAATACAACTAGTTCCTGATCTGGACTCCAAGCCATGCATAAAAGACCGACGTCGCAATAAGTACCTTCAGTAACAGCACTTGTTTCAGGATCCACAGTAATAACTTCTCCACTCTCCGAAGCCAAACTTATTACTGTTTCTAAAGCCAAGTACTCAGCATTAATAATACCAGGCAGTTCTGTTAGTTCTTTTAAAACTTCGGTGCTTTTCATGTATGAAAAAAGTTTCGTTTCAGTAACAAAATAAACAACATCGCTGTCGCCGTCATCATTTGGATTTAATACAACGAATTTTACGTCTCGTACAGGAGCATTTAATTCTGTACAAAACTTAAGTTTTAAATTACGCATTGTTATGTTTTATAATTGAATTGTAATGAAATAGTTAATAAGCAGAAGTGAACCAAACAACAAAACGTAAAAAAGATCTTTAGCAAAACGTGCATTTGACAGCTGATTTCGGATAAATAGAGGCGAAACAAAAACAGTGTTTAACAACACTATTTTCATTTAAAAAACAAATGATTTTTATTTGTAGTATCCACCTTTATATGGCGTTACACTGGCTTGAAATGTCTGATATGGAATTACATATGAGAAGCAAATGACTGATTTCTGTATATAAAATCTCATATCCGCAAATGGTTGGACATTTTTGCGCAATGGATCTCATTTTGTGTAAATGAATTCCAAACGTATATGAATACATAGAACATAGTCTAAATAAAAGTTTTTCATGGCATTTTCACAGTTTAAAAAAGCTCTTTTTGATATATTTGCATATTCTTAGAAACTATGAGTCCCTTTTTGTAACTTCTACTTTCCAAAAAGTACTTAATCAGAGTTAAAAATAATTTTTCAATTTATATTGTAAGGTTTGAAGGTATATTTTACCTTTCATACAACTTTTTTTTGGTATAGGCTAAAAATCAAATTAATAGACAATAAATAACAAATGTAAACACTTTCAAATAACTGATTTGAAATCAGTCATTTGCGGCCAGTGTAAACCCCATATTACATCGTAGTGCTTTATGACCTATAATAATAGTAATAATCTAATTATAAGAATTACATAATAAATTTATAAAACTAATAGAGGTCTGAATATATTTAATCTTTTAACTCCTAGGAGGAGCATAGGGCCGCAAAAAAACGGTCTGAATGCCCCTTTTTAATTCCTTTTCGGCAAATTTGTGAAATAATATTGTTTTGATTTTATTTTTATTTGTTGTGTTGTGAATATTCTTTGCTTAATTATAGCATGATTGATTCAAAAATCAAGTGCAATATTTTTACTCAACAGTTACTTCTAATATAAATAGGTGCTTTTGGCAGCTTTTGTGTTGCAAAAAACAGTAATAGACGCTCAATAGACGAGATAATAGTGTCTCTGTTGCAATCTGTCAAATGTTATGTTTTTGCAATGAGGAAATCTTGCATATGTGCACATAATGTAAACAAATTTCATTTTGTTTAAAATAAAATAAACAACAAATTTAATAATAGTTTAGAATATATATTAACACATTAGCAACCAATACTAAAACACTTAAATATATTTTATTGTATTCAAATTCATTTGTATACTAGCCGTATCGATTTATCAATATTCTTGAAAGATGTTGAGATTACTCTAAACATATATGATTAAGCTACAAAATAAAGTTAAAAGTATATATCAAAAGTTGAACAATTCAAAATGGTGTCTAAGAGATAATGATTGAAAATGATAACTAACATACACATGATTTGTTATCATTAACAGACAATAAGTCAATTTAAAGTAAACTAAAAAATGGCAAATCACCATCGATTGTGTATACGCCCCGAAAGGAATATTACTATATCACGAAAATGGTACTTAAATGGAAACAGCAGGGTTTTGAACGACGAGCAAGGCTTCAAATTACTTGAAGAAGAAGGGTGGTTAAAGAATCCCAATGATCATAGCAGCATATCCCTTTTTTCTTTTTTTCTAATTGTCTGTATAAGAGCAACAATTCTTTAGGCTCAAGTTAGCCTCCCTTTTTACAATACCATATTAATCTATTAAAAAAATAACTAAACAATAACAACATAAAACTTAAAAAATCTTTACATATTAATTGGAATTTGTCTAAAATGAAAACTGGTAGAGATATATTAAATAATTTGAAAGTGTTTATAGAAAAATTATCATTTGATTATAACTGATATGTACAAAATGAAATTATCGCACAATTAGACTTATTAGTGCACAATTTGTGACTTATTGGAAATATCAAAAATCATATTAATTAGAATAATTAATATGTTTAAAAATTAATAAGATTTTTGAATATAAATTTGTACACGCAATCAACTATCATATGGAACAACGGCATATATTTAAGTGCTGTGAGTTCATAGGCAACACTGCTATTTTTTGAAATAAATATACAACACTGTTTCATTTTTCGTTGCTTTTTAGAACGCCATTGGGAAAGAAGAAACAATGACGACAGTGAGTTTTTGTATTTTAGTTGATCGTACAAAAGTTTAGAAATTTGTTGTAAAATGTGTTTTATATTAAACAAATCATTGTTGTGGTTAAAAATGCATTATATGTTATAAAATTGAAGCAATAAAATAATATTAAAATAATCGAGTAAAATGTGTTAAAAATCTAAAAGGTAAACGCAGAAGAAAATACGAGAAAAAGCAAGACGTAAGAAATTCCTTAAAAAGTGGCATATAAGAAAAAAAAGTCGACGGTTATTAGTGTTAAGCAAAAAATTGTTTTATATTAAAATTTAGTAAAGTGTGAGAATCTATTGTGTTTCAATGGAAAATTATTTACAATAAAAAATTGGTAATATTTAATTTAGCAGGAATAAGCGACATTTAAAACGGCAACAAAATAAATGGTAAGTTTATTAAATGTGTCAGAAAGAGAAAGATTGTAAAATAGGTGTGAAATAATTCAGATATTATTTATTGTTATATTTTTATTTAAAAAACTGGATGCTGTTGCATATAAAATGTTAAGGAAAAGTGTTTCCATTATCAAAGAGAAAGTTAATATGAAAATATAAGAAAAATGGGATACTCTTCTGATAACAGGCGTGAAGTAAGGAATTTGTACATTTGTTTGCACCAGATGCGGCAAGTGTTGTGAAGGGAAATTTGTCCGCATTCCATTGCTTATTAGGGCGCGCCTTTGATGTGTTTTTTTCTTCCGACTTTTTTTTTATTTTTGTCTGAGACATTTTCTCCTTGCAAGGTGTACTAAAAGGCGATTGGGTGCAGAAATGTATAAAACAGATTTAATTGTTTTGTCAAGGATTTGTAGTGATACTTATTAGAAAAACAAGTTTCTGATTGAAAATTATTTCAATTTATGGAAATACTTTCCTATAAATAGAAAAACTGCTATTAAAAAATGAAAAATGAGTACATAAACCTGACTTATAAAAAAATAAGAAACCTGTGCTTTTAAACCAAAACCTTAATATTATATAGTATATTTTATATACATGCATTTTTATCGATAAATCGAAGAACATCAAATTAACAAATACTAGAAAAAGAACTTAAGGGGGGTGGGGGCAATGGAACATTTAGAAAAACCGCGAATTGTTCATTGATGCAAATCTAAGATGAAACTTGGTATTTACCTAAAAATCTGTTTTTATTGGATATTTCCAAGACAATAATTGTAGTATCCTCAAAAATCTCATATTAATAAATAGAAAACGATATATAAAGTATATCAGTCCTTATATAGAAATTTTTTTCATGTAGCATTAGTAGAATAACATATTAATGTATATTCCTGAGTTTAATCTCGTATACGACCCTTTTTATATATATGTGGTTTAATTAATAAATAGTTGAATAACGTGAAGTTACCCATTCATGAAATCTCATTTATTTGTAAAACAAACTTAGTTACTCTGGAACGTAAATCTCTTATAAATAACTAGAATATGATGAAAAGTGTTGTCTCTAAAGTACCCGCCAAATTTTGGTAACAGCTAAATCAAAAAGCCGCTTCGTCTGTTTGACCCATTCTCAATACGGCAGAGTTAATTAATCATGCTAAATTAATCATCTAAAAATGGCAATGGCAAAAGGATTATAAACCGTCAAGTAACGTTTGTCTTAACTGCTCAGTTTTGTTCTGGACGTGAGCTTATATACTCATATAACAAGGAATTTCTTGACGAAGAACATAGGACTTATGCGTAAGTTAGATAACTTTGTGTTATCTAACTTACAACTTTTTTTGCATACATGTACCCGGACTACTTGTTTTTCACAACCTTTTTTTAATATCCGCGAATATTATTCACAGATTATACTAATATTAATATTATTAACATTAGTCGAAATAGTACACGAATTGATAAATATTAACAATACAATCTCATTAAATGATAAAGGCCAAAGGATCAAAGTTGTTTATACTCAAGAACTTAGGTATAGTGTTGAACATTTGTTGTCTCACTTTTCCATATTTGTAATTGTAAAACTAATAAAACTGTATCTATTCGCAATGAGCAAATAGCTGAATATTCTAGATAATTTAATTTTTCTCGAAAACTCCAGACGAGTTCAGTCTTTTGCATATCAAGTGATTCCAGAATCAATATTCTGATGACAGAATATTGTTTGTATTTAGATTCTTATCAGCTTACAGACCCGAACAATTAAACACAGAATAGACAGAATATTGAACAACATTATAGTTATTATTACAGTTTTACTTCAATTATTGAAATATAAACTTAAAATTATGTTATTGTACTTTATTAAGCATTATCACATTAAACAAATAAATTATTATCACATAAAAATTATTATTCTTATTCACTCCATAAAGAATCCCATTTTTGGAACGTTCTACTCCTACGTCAATGTAATAAATATTTTTATTTGAAGTTTATTGTAACCGAATTTGACTAGAACAAAGATGTGTGAAATTTCAAAAATCTTTTTCTTCAATAACCGGTTAAATTAATATAAACAAAATCTTTTTCACATTATATATTGTTTTTTATTCAAAACAAATTATTTAACAATCTACTATTGGACTTTGTTTGGAAATATTGCGTAAACATCTTATAATTTTCATATACACCTGTAACAAAATTTGTACATAAATTATAATTAATAATTCAATTTATATGCAAAAAAGAAAGAAAAAGTAAAAATTCGCAAAATTTTTATAAATTTTGTTTGTTGTGCTCTCTAGACTTTCATATCTGAAATCACTAATAAAAGATTTTTGTTTTCTAGTTTTCGTATTTCTGGGTCATGGCAACGCAATGTTGTAAATATGTACATATTTGTTATATTCACATAAAAATGTACATAAATGTAACTTAAAGTATTTGATTAAAACTGAATTTTCATTTAGAAATGAGCATTATATATTGTATGTTATATATATACGTATGTATATATATCCGT